AAGAAGTTTATTCTTCGCCTATTCAATCAGAGCAACATTTGAGAAATCGTATCGTAGCTGCAGCGAACAGAATATCGCAAGAACAGTGCCTGGCTGCTACAAGAGCCGTGTTTGACAGATGCAATGCTTGTATTGCTGCAAGAGGTGCACATTTCGAACAAAATCTTCATTAAAAAGTTTATAAATAAAATAATTAAAATAATAAATTAAATATATTTTTTTCTTTTTTCGTGATTTCCTGCGAAACAAAGCAAAAAGGAGCATATGTCTATAGGACTTTTTTTCTTAGTTTTTTACTCCTCTACACGCTCCCGAAGTTTTGCCATTTAATTTGGAAACACCCTGTATATATATATATACAGGGTTGGGTAGTGCTAAGTTAAAAAGATAAAAGTTAAGTTAAAAAGTTAAAAAGTTAATTAATTTTAACTTAACTTTTATTTTACAAGTTACATTTTAGATTTTTAACTTTTTAACTTAATTTAGTTACATTTTATCAGTAACTATTAACTTTTAATTTGATTTTTTTTAAATCAATCCTCAGACACAATGCGAGAGGATAATGAGTACATAATTTAGTCATTTTATATTGTATAATCGTTACTTGTGAATAAAAATAACCAGATTCTTTAATAAATATGATATGAGAAAGGAAAAATATGAAAAATTATGTAAAATGGTCAAACTTTTTCTTTTTCTTCTTTTTTTTTTGATTATTTGTTCGGACCAAATTTAATTTTTAACTTTTCAATTACTTTTTTTATTAACTTAACTTTTGATTCAATTAATTTCATTATAGATTAACTCGTATTTTAATTAAAATAAATTTTCAAGACTGTTAACTTTAACTTAACTTAGTTAAAAAGAAGTTAATTTACCCAACCCTGTATATATATATAATTAATCTGAAGAATTCTATCAAATTTATTAGCGAAATTTTATAACTTTACTGAAAAATTATGTTACATTTTTTTCCTAATTACACGACAATTCAGAATTTACTTCATACATATTTGATGTATCGATATATTTAAGTTCGTTTCATAATAATTAATAATTTTTCGGCAATTGTACACTTTTTAAATTAATGAGCAAATCATCTACAATTGCAATCTTTCTCTGCGTTTCCACCGAAAATAAATAGAGTAAGAAACTTCGTTATAGTGTAAATAGTAGATACATTGCCGCAGTGTATTCTACGAATCACTCGTAATGATGTACAAATAAAAAATATTTTCGCGAGATATCTCAAATCTTCTTTGAAATGTATCATCAATTTAGAATTCAATTTCTTTTCAAATAAATATTCCTTTATTTTAATTTAAAAAATTTCTAGGGTCAACCAAAAGTCGATTAACGAGGAATATCCGGAAAGTTTCAATAAAAGAAATGTTTAATAAGTAAAGTTTCATAAAGAATATACTTATATGTAACTTTAAGATTAATGTATATACAATATAAGTTGCTTTTTGCCTTAATAAAGTGACCTACAATGTTCACGAAATAATATTCATTGTTTTTATTTATTGATGGTAGTCTATAACATAAATGCTAATTACACTAGGTAACAAAATTTGATTTTTTTTTGGTATCACGAATGTGATTTATCATTTTCCTATGTATTTATGCCTACTGAACATGAATTCGTTACTTAAATTTGATTATTAGTTCGCATTTTTCATAAAAATTGTTTTTATGACATTGTAGCACCGCAGTAGCAAATTTTATTTCTTAATTTCGTTTATAACACGCAGAAGTATCAACTTTTAGCTTTAAAATGCATTTTTGTTTGTTACAATATCATTTTTTTATTTTTGAGATATGTTAATTTGAAAATGTAGCTCTTTCTCTATGTGATACATGCATTATTATTATTATTATGTTATTACATTATTACGAGAAAAGAGAGAACTATATTCAAATTAATATATTTTAAAAACGATGTCGATGATAAAAATGATATCGAAACCAGCCTAAATACTTTTTAAAGTTAAAATATTAATAGTTTCGCGTAATATAAACGAAACTTATAGAAATAAAATTTACTGCCGGTGTTACTATGTCATGAAAACCATCAAAATTGTCATTCTTTATATCTTTTTAACCCCATTTTTCTCAAAATTGTGATGTAATCAAATTTGGACAATGGATTCGCGTTCAGCAG